AAATTTAAATACAAACAATTCCACACCACCATCGCTACAATTGATCACCTCCGTAAATATTGTCCATTAACATTATACCATCGCAACCCGGTTAATTAAAATGTTATCACAATTCAGTCGGCATCATTACTGTCGAGTGACTTTTAAATCGAGCCAGGTTATAGTTTGTTGAACCAAGTTTTTGCGCATCGTTTACCGGTTCACTAGTATCTCTATCCAGAGTTTTTATCCGGACAAATGGCCTGAGATTGATAGCTGATTGTGGGTGCATCGAACTTACACCGCGTAATGTGACGCAATGCGATAGATGCATATTTGACATTATATGATTATTCTAACGTTTTGACTTGCTTTGTTTTTACAGTTGAATTAAAAATTACTAGTCATTGTTAAAGTTTGTGACTAGGCTGTATGGGCTATAGTTTTTGCCTTTTCAATTTTGAACGAAATTTAAAACAACTAATTTACAGGTGATCTAATTACAGTTTTGTTTGAATCGCTTGCGAAGTAATCGCCTTTCTCATTTTTAATACATCGATATGTTCATTGTTGTTGAAATATTGCGTGCTAATCTTTACAATTGGAATAACCATTTTTCTTAGAATTGATTAAATATGAAGGTTGTTTTGAGCGCCTTTATATACATTGGTTACTACTTATCATCAAATGAGCTGTTCTCCATTTCCAATATAATAAAATCAGTATTAGAAGTTAGAGCAATTACTAATAAACCTTAAATATTATTAGAATTTATCGTATCGAGTCTGAGTACCTAATATTAAGATTTCATCTGATCATTGTTTTACAAAAAAAAAAAAAAATCTTGACAATAAGTAACAGACAATAAGTAACAGATATCAATTAACAACATAAATCACAAACTGTATATGACTAAAAACTGATTTAAGTAATGGAAGACCCAGTTATTTTGATAAATAAATAAACTATTATAATAGATTTAAAAAAAATAGGACCACATTGAAAGTATATCCTTTCAGATATAAAAAAAGGTAACAAAATAAAGCCTAACTGAGAACTGCCTTCTTTTTGTAATAGATTGAAAAAATACTTCAATTATGATAATAGCAGTATGCGACCAACATAAATCCTGTCAACTTCATAATATGGAAACAGCAAAATCTTCTAAATGATTTAGGTGGATAATGTACAAAAAATTAAGTCGACTTTAGAACCTCTTTTTTGACGATGCGTAACAAAGACGTCGGAATTTCAAACATTACAAAAACTACGATCGATACAGTTTTCTACTATCCAACGGATTAAGAGTCATTGACATCCACAGCATTCATAGAATGCACACAATATTGGACACCGAACGTCAAGTAGGACAAATGGTTAATAGGGTTAATAAATATAATATGACACACATACACTTTACCGATTATACGGGTAATGTTGTAACGAGATCATTTAAGTTGTCGATCATTGTTTAAACAGTGTAAATTGGTGTTTCCGGTTTTAATAATATTACCGAGTATTACGATGTTAATTGAGGTGGTCAAAAATAAGAGATTTTTAGATACGTATATAATTTTTTTATATAGAAATAGCAATGCTTGAAGGATATCATGGTCCTCTTTGTATATTCTACAAGTTTTTCTTCAGCGTGGATTTCAGAAGTAGGAGAACTAATGAAATAGATAGCTTCTAGATGCTGTATCGAGAGAAAATATACATTAAATTTTAATACAGTCCTCGGTAACAAATGTGGAAATCGCAGTCAATTTGGCGCTGTAGTTTTTACTGTTTTATTGTTCTAACATCTATTGGGCTTATTAAGACCCCCTCCCCTCCTCATTCAATTTTTTTTAAATACCTTCCATGCGCAGACATCGTCTAGTCAAAATTTTATCATATTAATAAGATGTCCATAGTACTATCCTGTATGCGACAGTTACTACTTTCCATCGGGTGTGCGACAGCTGTTTTGCCATTTCTAATTTGGATAAAGTGTATTTTTTGCTAATGAAGAAAGTTGAGAGTAATCTGAATGAATATAAGATCGAAGGTAGTCATCCCGGATCTATTTACAGCCCATTCACTTAACTCTTTTTAAAGTTTGAACATTTTGCTTCATTTTTGTATATATAGTAGGTAACATATATCCTGAGTTCTTGGATGATTCCGATCTTTTATCATTCCGTTTAGTTGAGAGTTGATAACCAGTTGTGACAGCTATTAAATAATAATAGCTTCCCATAAGCATTCTCAATTGTCTATCACCGTATTACTCCAGTTAGACGTTGGGATAAAAATTAATTAAGACATTTTTTGATGCAACAAGTTTACTCTGGTGTTTTTACACCAGAGGAAATATAAGTGCATATTGTCAACTCGAATAATTAATTACTGTCTCATTAGTACACTTTTTAATACAATATATAATACGATATTGAATATGTAATTTGACTCGATAATTGTTTGAGCATTGTTTTCTTTTTTTTTTTCTTTTTTTTTATTATTCTATGATCATAATAATGTATTATATAAATTAAATTTGTATCCTGCATGCCTACAATAAGGCAATTAGACAGATGCCAAAAAGTTGTGTCACATGGCCCTTATAATGTTAAATGTCTGTTTAAAGCAAATAAATATTTCATTTCATTTCATTTAATTTCATTTCATTTCATTTAAATAGGTACTTAATATTAATAATCTCAAAATATACTGAGAAATAATTTTCCATTAAACTTTTTTTCGTAGATATTTCTATTATTTCCAAGGACCTATTGTAATACGATACTAACACTTAGGTAGCATAATAAATCTGTACAGGTTGGTAGGTACCCAACGATTCCGGGTGGTAACAACCTCAGAAATCCTTTAGCGCGACAGATCGTCTGTCTGTGATAGGAGGTAGGAGGAATATTATAGCCATTTCGTAGCATTTGTTTAAAATCTTGTTTTTTTTTTTTGATATGACTTCGAATGGCTAATATTCTGTGACTCCACTTGTTCAAATATTCCCTTCACGGTAACTGTTACTCCCTTTATGTCTCACGTGCATTGTCCTTCTTGATGACTAGGCATTGTGCTTCCTTATCTATAATTTCCCTTATTCTAATAACAAAACTTTCAGGTGTGTTCCTCGAAGTTTTGTTATTTATTTTCGTTCGTCATCAGGCTGGTTATTATCTAATTCAATCCAGTCGTACCCCTCAATGTCTTTTTTTTTTTATTAATAAAGTATTGTAGTCGCAGCATCAGCTGAGCCAGCCCCTTTCGACTAAAGTAAAAAAAAAAAAAAAAAAATTCTGACAATATTTTTCCATTTCTTCACACTCCGTTATTTTGTAATAATATCGTAGGATGACATAACTATTTATTAGCAAATCTACATATTGTATGTGTTTAGCGGATCAATTCGCGATAAACTGTACAAACTTGTGTTATCAAATATGTAATAGAGACACTGTATTCCCGCAAATTATACTATCAAATTTCACTTTGAAAGTAAACAGTGACTCGAACTCGCGTTCTCGTTCCTTCCTGTTTATCAGCTCGTGTACATATTTTAATATTTTTGTTTGAATTGCAAACTGTTTTTTTATTCTTTTACGTACGATATGTGTGTGTTTATATAAACGATATTTAAAGGAGAGGATTTTAAATTTCTCTAATTGCTAATTCTATTTTTTTGCAATTTGTGTTGGTTATTTCATGCTATGAAGCAAAATGTGTTTATTTTCAATGATGATAAAAAAATACATTTATTGTTCTATTTACATTTATGTACCTGAAGTAATTTTTCGTTAAAATTTCTCTAATAAACGGCTACATACTCTATTGGGTTGCTACTCATAAGTCAAATATGAAATGATTCACAATAATTGTTTCTCGGGACCTTAGTACCGCATTTTTAACTATTTTCCCCAAAGTCAACGTAAACAAAGGATGAACTAAATGATCAATTATACTTTGCCTTCTAATTACGTTGCTGTATACAATACCGCTTTGTACAAAGTGTTTGTTTGTTACTCACGGTCAGACTTAGCGCCTGTACGTCCTTGAGCCGCGGTAGGTAGGTGCCTTTATTCGGTTTATACTCACACTTTTATTGCTACCATGTTTATAGAGCGTCCATATAATGCTGGCGTGATTTTATAAATATTTTTACCTGTTGAGATAGGTTATGAAGTCATTCGTTAGAATATTTAATTAATAAAAAGAGATAACAAATATTTAAATAAATTATCGTTTGTTTTAAGTTTTATTTTTAGTTTGAACAACTACTATGTAAATATCTACGTAATAATGTATTATTACTTCTAAATGCGTTAAGTAAAAAAATATACGGAATATTTCATGTTGCATGTAGAATAAAAAAGTAATAAAATCTTAAAATATATATAGGTGTGACTAGATGTCGTAACTGGATTATGAGGGCTTGATGAATGTTACTGAATACTGACTGTTGTTCTTATTTGATTCACAATCAACACGACAATAACAGTTCCTTTTTCTACGTCTGTCTATAGTTATAATATCTTCAATTCGCCCTTAGCTATCTTCTAAAATTTACATCAATTTGTTTACTATCCCTAATTATATTTTATAACAACGTTTATTACATGTGTGACTATTACATTTTCGTTGTCTATTGCAAAACTATTGACGTACAAAGCGCCCGTCAAAATAATCATCTGGTCCGGTTCCCGCACGTGTGGCTGTGGGGTACTCGGGCCGTCAGTTGTGCACCCGACGGCAACAAAGGCACGCGCGTTCGAGCACCCGTTGCATTCCCGCAGCTGTACGATAGCGAATAGCGACGAGCGCGGCATAACGGACCTGTAATAACCGCGCCACTGTTCATTCAACCCGTGACCCGGGTCCCGGTAATTAAAAAAAAAAAATACGCAACGCGCCGTCTCTGTGATGCAACTCCGGCAGCCCCTTTCGCGGTAACCCAAAAACTTGTCATATCGATGCACGCGACACGTGCTCACCCCACACCTTTCGCCATTGTCCAATCCTAGGAAGGCGACGGCTACCGGCGGGTGTCCGCTAGCAAATCGCGGCTTGTGTACGATTTCACGACGGGACCCGAACCCGCCCGACAGGAGCCGAAGCGCGCATCGACAACCCCCAGTGCAGCCGATGCCCCCAACATGGCTGCAATGGTGGCTAATTCTCCCTTAAATTCTGTAACGAAAAAACCATCGATCAAGAAATATAGAGCTCCAACGCCGCCGTCTAAAACAGTGAACGTCGATGACGACAGTGAAAAAGACAAGGAAAACAATGTTGTGCAAAAAGAAGAAAACGACAATGGACCAAGTGATTGTGTACAAACAAAGCCGGAGCCGGCTCAGAAACCGGTGTTCGAAAATTCACCCATTAAAAAATTTGCGCCGAAATTGAACACGAATGTGGACAGGAGTTCAGTTTTGTCCAAAGCTGCTATGTTCGAAGCAGGCAGTCCTAAAATGAAGGATCCCGCAGAAATGTCACTGAGGGAGCGGAAAGCCCTTTTCGAAAAGAATAAGGGCGCAGCGATAGTGCCTAAAGCGCCCTTTGGAATGGCACCCTCCGTCAAAATTCTACACGGCGAAAAAGGTAAGTGAAAATTTATAAAAATATCTTATATTAATGTTACTGGTGCCAACTATTGCGTGTGATACGTACTACTGTGCATGACAATTATATATAGTTTATGTTCTGTGACCAATTTACCTCGACTATATTTACAATATGAATTACTACGATTTTCAATGCTCATATAAATTGATAAAAAACCTGTTACGAACAAGTAATGTTTTTCGGTAACTCATAGACTTTTTTTATAACCGGTGTACTACTGTTTTACGTATGCGTAAATGTTAATTACTTTTCGGAGATACTAATAATGAAAACTTGAAACTAGCTTTTTAAGCGACTTCCAAAAGAAATGTGATTATGAAAAAATAACTATTAAACTAAAGTCTTTTCTAACTAATGTAGTGTGGATTTTATAGCAAAAACAATTTTTTTTTTATTTATTTGTAAATTATAATGCAACAATCTTAAGTTATGTATGTTTTGTGTATTTAGTTACAATAGTAGATAACCTTCAGCCTTCAACAGCAAACCTGTATTCTAAAGATTTTCGTAACGAACCTAATAATCTTCAAGCATATTTCTAACCACGTTTATCTCCAGGCGTATCGATTTAAGCCAAAGGAATTTCGACCTTAATTCTCGCAAATACTTAAATGCAATGTCTAACGTCTAGACAGCGATAATGCCAATCAGTCAGGTTTTTTAATGCCGGTTCAAGTTTTGGTCTGGGTCTTAATTTTGGGGTTCCTTCGCGAACATTAACAAAATTATTTTGGATTTAATCCGTTCAAAAGTTATCTTAACTACGACCAATTAATAAAAATTAATACATATATACACATTGATACTTACATAACTTTATAATATTGCCTTCCATTATTGAGGATTATCGCAGTATGTTTACCTCCTCCATAAGCCCCTATGTTTATCACATAAGTGTTTTTTCTAGAAAATCTCTAGAAGAAATTTGGTAAAAACTTTTCTAGTTCTTGAATATGATTAATTCATGAAATCCTTACTGTTCTCAACCGACTTCAAAAAGATGGAGGTTCTCAATTCGGTTGTGTTTTTATGTTTGTTAGCTCTTAACTTCAGTTGTAAACCGTTTTGTAATTTTTTTTTATCTAAAACTGTACGTACAGATTGGCTCCATATAAATTTTATCAAAGTCAGTTCACTAGTTTAAACATCAAAATAGTTGGTTTTGTTATTATTGAAATCTGTTTTTTTTGTAGGACAATCTTTTATATGCTAATCGCTGAATGATTAATGATGATTGACTGTACAGAGAACTTTGCGTGTTGTAACCAGGAGATTGTCATCGTCATTATCAGTGGATGCAAACTTGATTCGCAAAGATAACGATTTTGATTAATGATTTTGTTATCTTATGTAAAATAGGCGGCGATTTCAGTTGAAAGACGGAGTTGTCGAACCAAAACTTTAGGTGTTGTAACAATGCAATATCTTAATACCTAAAGTGTAACAAACACTTTTTAATGGCCAAAAAATATAGGATTATTTCGTCTGTTTTTCTTTTGGTCTGTAGTATGCGATTGCGTAGTCAATTCTAAACCGATTTTTACTATTTATTTTTTTGCAATCGAATAAGATTTATTCCCGTTTGTCCTATATTAGTTTTCTAACTCCTAGTGGTCATGGTTCTAATAAATTTGATTTTAATCTCCTAACCCCTGACATAATCCATGCATCATTAAAAAAATCTTTGTGGAAATAAATACTTTTTGTTTCTTTTTTCTGCATGGCCACACAGTTTGTGAACGCAATAAAAAAAAAAAATAACGTTCTTTATTTTACTATTTTAGTATCATTTTCAGGTAATTTATCAAGTTTTTTTCAAATTTGGACTCATTTTATATCTCTAGGGGTTAGGAGGGTAAACAATACGGAACTTAGATCATGGAACACGTATCACGCTTGTTAGCTTTTTTCTTATGTGCACAGACATCATTAATAATGTATGAGGTCATAACGGGGAATCGAACTTGATGTAAATTGATTGGATTACTTATTACGTGTTATATTTATAGTCTTTTTTTTTAGCAATGATTAAGTGTTACTATTCGCATACAGATGCGATATTTAATACACGCCTTGGTAGAACTAATAGGTATATAATTTGTATGTACACTTAGAAATATATTTTTTTCTTAGCGGTGTATATTCCTTTTTGATATGTTTTTGTCCGATGTCGACATTTTTTAAAGCAATACAATATATTTTAGCAGCATAAATATATAAAAATATCTTATATACATATGGTAATTGAAATAAATAATAAATTAAATATTATTATATTTCTGTAATATTTTGTAAAAAGTGTCTAATTTTAAGCCGTGTTGACTCGTAAAATAGAGTACAAAAGATGGACTTAATCCTTTTTTATGCAACTGTAAGTAAAAAAACAAGTTGATGGGGCTTCAGATAGAAAATGATAGAACCATCGCATAGAGATATGAACAGCAATATGGACATGATTATATATATATATATATATATATATATATATATATATATATATATATATATATATATATATATATATATATATAAGTGTTTGAACTTGCGTGTACCGGCGGTATAGGTAGTTCATGTAAATTTGTAAATGAACACTACAAAGCGAAATTCCTATTAATTGAGGTAATGTTTTGTAACCGTATAGAATTACTTACATTGTTGATGACATATGTCTACATATAAGTACTGGGAAATGGTATATTATCCGTTTTAATTAGAACAATATTTATTATTTACTAAAATTACCATTAATTTGCTGTCGTTGACAATACTTATGTAAAGTATAAAGTTTAATATAGATTCTCAAAATACTTACATTTTGTGTTCATAATATTCATTTTATGCTGTGACTTGTAAATTTAGAAATAAATAAATTTAATATTTACATGTCGTAGTACGAAATTAGTATTATTATAAACATACTAGTTGACCCCGTAAACGTTGTTTTACCACTTATTGCGAAATATAAAAATCGCGATTAAAATACATGGGTTGATCGTAGAACGATGAAAATTTAAAGTTGTATGTATTTTTCAATGCTAAATTATACTAAAATAAAATAAAAAAAAATTGTCAAAAAAAATGAAAAAAAATATTTTTGCGTGGGTTACCCTTATCATTGAGGGGTATGAAAAATAGATGTTGGCCAATTCTCAGACCTACCCAATATGCACACAAAATTTCATAAAAATCGGTAAAGCAGTTTCGGAGGAGTTTGGTAACAAACACTGTGACACGAGAATTTTATATATAAGATGTATCTGAAGATATTGTAAGTATAATTTACAATTTATCAAATTGTAAAAAAATTAACATTCTTGTGAATAATAAAATCGGAAAGGTTATACTTACAAATTAATCCCATGGAAATTTTATCAAAATTGGTTCAGTAGTTTAGTTTTTTGCCATTTTTTTGACACAGTTGAAGTCTTTTTTTTTAGTGAAACACAATCTTAATTATATTAATTGCAGATTCTTATAGAAATATTATTGAAACATGATCATATTATATTAATATTGTGTGTTAGAAAAAAAATAACTTCTGAGTTATTAAGTTTAATCCTGAAACTTATAATATTATGGTGTGTTTGTGGTCGCAGATAAAATAAGGTGGTTACACCAAATAGCTACTATTATTGTCAATTATAACAAAGCCAATCGACAGAACAAAGAACAAGCAGCTGTAGTGTTATTTACGTATTAAGTCATAAAGGTTTGTTTTAAATATATACGCTACCATCTAAATAACTGATATTCAGGTAGGCTGCCAACTTACCGCTAAAGCCTTCCTTCACCTGCTCCCTTTTATGAACTTTAATTTCTATAGGTACTTAATTACACACATTTATTTCAACCAATTGCTCAGTAATTATATTTTTGCTAGGGTACTCTCGTGTCTATGACCAATAAAAATTATAATAACGTCTTATTAACTATGTCTATTCTTGAGTTCATTGATTTACTTAATTAAATTTGTTCTAAAACCATTCTGAAAATTTAATAAGGTTTAAGCCTTTGCTCTTCTTTCCATATTATTTTCGTCATATTTGAAGTAACTCCTTCTTAAAGACCTGCTATCATAAACCATTTTAAAATTTAACACTATTATTCATAAAAAATCTTATTGTACTTTGAGTCCTTTAGTTTAACTCAATAACACTATTAAACCTTTCTTTTTTTAATTTAAGAGTTTCCTCTTGTCAGTGCAACTAATTCATGCATCTTCTTCCAGCCAGCTCTATCCCAGGCCATATCCTTGATCTCCCTATACGACATGACACCTAGTGTTTCCTTTATCTGTCCCATGTAGTTATACCTCGGCCTTCCTCTTCCTCTTTAAACCTTTATAATAGAGTTATTCATAAACACTCAATGAGCCCTCAATAAGTAGGTAAAATAAGTTTACTGGAGGATTTAAATTATTATCTTGTAAACTTATCGAGCTCTACAGACCATAGACAATCGGCTCTAGCCAGCAGTCAAAACTATTGTGATTTTTTTTAATAACTATTTTTTGGTCTACAAAAGAAAATGTGATACAAAATGTGGACTTAATGCTGTTAGCATTTTGGGATTCATCCCGATTGTTTATAGTGAATCACGAAGGCGTTAACTTATTATAGGGATAGGTAAAGATAATAACAGTTAAAATATATATATATATAAATATATATATATATATATAGACTTTAAACTTCAATAAGTTTATGGTAGATTTATAGAACATATATAAAAAAAATACATATCTGACATCACTATTGAACAATTATTGCAGAGTTACAGTGTATTCATGAATTTGGCTTGCGAACGGGTCTCCGGAAAGGCGGTCATTTAAAAGTACTCGAACCTAATCTTAACATTCATTATTATTGACATATTGATAGTACAGTTAAGCTTTTGGCCTAGCGTGTTGTATTCACAGTCTAGCTCAATAAACCAAGCTAAGCGACGAGACTTCTCAGCAGGGTTGCCACATGCTA